GTCCAGCCCCCAATATCCCACCCCTCGGCCCCCCCACCCTCCGAGAACCAGCCTTCCGAGCCCCCCGCATTGGCGGTCCCCGTGCTGAGTTCCAGCCTCCGAGGCTCGGTTCCCGGTCTGGAGTTCCAGACACGAAGCCCCGCCCCCTCGGCGCAGGCCCCATCAAGTTCAGCCACTGAAGCCCCGCCCCTCGAAGCCCGGTCCGTCAGCGCCGCCTGCAGGCCGGCGCCGGCTCACCTTTCGTCAGCTGCGGCTTCCCGGGTCCCCACTTGACCTCAGGGTGAACCAGGCACACGCGCTGGGCCCCTGCCGGCAGCAAGGGCTCGCTCCGCAGCAGTTCCTCCTCCTCTTCCTCGTCCTCTGCATCTTCAGGCCCCTCCTCCTCCTCCTCCTTCGCTGCTCCGGCTCCGCTGCTGGGGCCATCCGCAGGAGGACCCCGGCTACCGCCCCGTCTCCCCTGCAGGCCCCCCGGGTCACCGGGACTGAGGGCAGCGAGCGCACGACCGGGACAGGGACGCAGCGGCGGCGGCGCGACCCTCAAAGCCCGCTGGCCGCGAACCACGCGAGAGAGCGCGGCCCCCTGGCGGACGGCGGCCCGCAGGGTCCACATCCTGCGTCCGCCTGAACGCCAGGGGGCGGGGCCTCGGGGGGCGTCGAGCGACAGCGCGGGCTCCGCATTGGCCCTGCGTGTCACGTGTGCGCGGCCGCTTGAAGGACGTGAGGTCGCGGCCAGGAAAGGAGAGGACGCAATTCGCTTCCGCGCGGGCGGCTCGCGTCGGACCCCCAGACTAGAAGCGGCGTGAACAGGGGCTGGCTCCGACCCAGCCCCTCGGCCGGTGGCGCTCTGCACCCCGGCGCCTTCCCGCGCCCGGCTCCGGCGGACCCCGCGGTCCCAGGTTTTGCCGTGGTGCGCGAGCCTGTCCCCGCTGGCCCCTGACGCGGATCCCGGTCTGCAGGGAGTCTGGGGAGGGTTCCGCATGCCGCGTGGGGATTCGGAATCCAGCCGAGGGGTTCCTGAGTGTACGTTGGTAGCCGGAGTGTGGCCCCGGGGTGCCTTCCCATCCCTGGAGATCCCACATCCAGCCTTGGGGGCATCCCACTGCGTCCCGGGGGTCTGCACCTTTGAGAAAGATGGGACGCGTGAGCTCGTGGTGGTGCATTCCACAGCTTACAGCTTCAAGGGCCTCGTAGGAATTGGACTTTCATTACGGCTTGGTGGACGGTCTGGCCACGAGGGGATGAACCCCGCGTCTGTCTCCACACACAGTGTCCACGAGAGTGTCAGTGATTGTTCCCAGAGAATCTGCGATGCTGGGAATCTGGGCAAGTGTGCCGGTTACTTGCTGTCTGAATCCTATTTTGATCTGCGGGAGAAAAGTTGACATTGCAGCAGAGTAATGAGGAGGTGCAGAAAAGAACGCAGGAAAATCCCTTACAATGTGACCACACAGAGATACCTTGAGATTTTGTGACTGTTCTTCCAGTCCTTTATACACACACGCACATGCCTACAGTCGCCCCCCGGTATCCGCGGGGGTGGGTTCCAGGGCCGCCCTCGGGCACCAAAACCCACGGGTGCTCCAGTGCTTTATATGAAACGGAATATTAGGACACATGCCATGCACATCCTCCCCTGGAGACTGTAAAATCCTGTCTAGATTACTTGGTACAATGTTAATGCTAGGTAAATGCTACACTATTATTTCAGAAATAATAAGGAAAAAGTCTGTGTGTGTTCAGTGCATACACAACCACGTGAGACCTGACTACACCGCAACAAGGTAACATTTGCTAACCGCACAGTGCCGGTCAGCAGCACCCTAACTTTCCTCATCCTGATCCTGGATATTTTCCGTCTCTCCTTGGATGAATTTGCCCGTGCAGAACCCGCGGATATGGAGGGCCCATGCCTACGTGTGTGTATATATATTTTCAATTTTTACCCAAAATAACGTATATCATATACAGGGTGGAGCAACAGGTTTCCGGTTGTTCATGTGGAGACTAATACAACAATTAATGAATGATACAAAAACAAACTTTCACATACAATTATAAATCTACTTTTGCCCCACCCTGTAGATTGTTTTAAATTTTTTAAAAAACTTCAAATGTATCCAGGTCCTGGCTGGTGTGGAACCAAAGGGTCACACTTCTGATTCCCAGTTGGGGCACATGCCCAGGTTGCTGGCCAGGTCCCCAGTAGGGGGCGCGCACGAGGCAACCACACATTCATGTTTCTCTCCCTCCTCTGTCTAAAAATAAATAAAATCTTTAAAAAAAATGTATCCTGAATATAAACTACGTAGTACTGCGCATTGGCTGTCCAGAATGTGATCCAATGGATATCTTATAATTAATGCCGTATGTTAATTGGGCTTCTATGTTTACAGAGGTGTGATCACAATGTACTGAGTCACTGTTTTGTAATCACTGCACATACATACTATAACAAAGTAGCCGTCCCACTATACTCTGTACTGTCGTTGTGCTGGAGAAATTACTAAAAGCACGGGAGTTACTAATTTTGGTTTTTGACGTGACCAAGAACCTTTTAAGTGGTGCTGGGGGTGTGCACCGGGGGCGGGGTGAAGGCGCAGAGGGCGGGGCAGGCGTGGCGTAGGGTCCGGACCGGGCGCACGCAGCGCAGCGGGGGCGGGAGGGCTGGGCGCACGAGGGCTGGGCGCTCACAGCGAGGCAAATACTGAGCTGACAGAGGCGCTCAGTGCGCACAGGGGACCTGCGGCTCAGACCTCCGCTCCGAGACCTGGGACTGCACCCGCCCTGGACGCGCCTGCTGGGTTCCCGTCTAGGCCCTGAGCCTCCAGCTAGGTCCCCCTGCAGGCCTCGCTTCCCTGCGCGGTTGTTGAGCCGGTATGGGGGGGAGGGGGGCGGAAGGGGTCACGAGGCGACTGTAGGTGGAGCTAATGGGGGATGTAGACCAATTCGCGCAGCACGAACAGGGCGACTCCAGAGAGGCAGGTTGTCCTTATGAACTGGTCACTGGGAGCGTGGAAGTGAGGCCGGTGGGCGGCGGTGGTTCTGCACCTAGGCCCGTGGTTGCCCCGTTGGTAAACGCGTCCACGGTGGGGGATGGGGGGAGTCTGGAGCTGCACCCCCACTGCCACAACCCCGCAGCCTCAGGAACGGGTGAGCCCTCCAGAACTCAGGCAGTGCTCACTTTATCAAGGGACCCACGAAACTGAATCACCCAGCGCGGGGAAGAAAGCCACCAGGGACCTGGCTGCCCTGAGCCCGGAGTCCAGAGAGGGGCCTGCTGTGCAGGTTTCCTTCCAGGGCCCAGAGATCCCAGGAACACAGCGTATATTCCAACAGGCGGTGGCCACGCAGCACCACGTGTCCTGGAGGGGAAGACGCCTGATGGTGTTCGGTCTACAGCGAGTACCATTACACCTGCCCGGGTACCAGGGCACTGTCCCAGCCCTGGGGTGCGGGCCTCGGGCCTCAGCGGCTGCAGGTGTTCACGGGGCTGGAGAGGGGCCGGGTGGTGTGCACGGTGTTCGTTAGTGTCTCGTGGGTACATTGGAGACCAGGTGTTATTAGCCCGTGTAACAGGGGCGGTGCCGGAGACTCAGTTTGGGCAGGAGAGACCTGGCCCAGAGTAGCGCCAGGACCTGCTACAGCCCCCTTTGCAGGGCGTGAGGGTGTTGGTGCTCTGAGCTCTGGGGTCTTCCTGAGTGCGTGAAGGCAACACCCACCCAAGTGTGCTCACCTGTCTTTTCCAGGGGGGCAGGGGCTCGTGTTGGGGCAGGGACCAGCGGGCATGGGGTGAGTGGGGACAGACAGAACCGTGTGGGGTGCAGCAAGGTGGGCAAGAGCAGGCACTGGGGGGGCAGGGGGATGCAGAGCAGGGTGGGGGTGCAGCTCCCGGGGAGGGGAGAGGGCAGGGCGCCAGGGAAACAGCGGGGGCAGTGCTGGGGCTCGTGGCCACCCGCATCCGCCTGGCCGGAACCTTCTCCCCTGCTCCAGCAGACGCCAGCCCCTCCGCAACCCCTGGCATTGACATGCTTGCTTTTCTAACATCTTTGCATTTATTGACTTTAGAGAGAAGAGGAGGAAGAGAGGGGGATGCTGTCTGGTTCCTCTCCGTGATGCATCCTTGCTTGCCTCTTGTCTGTGCCCTGACCCAGGATGGAACCCGCCCTGTGGGGTATCGGGGATGACGCCACAACCCACGGAGCAGCCCAATCAGGCCGTGTCTCGGTGGCTCTGCAGCTGTCGGGGGGGGGGTACCCCAAGACCAGAACCTGCCAAGCACGTGGTCTTGGAGACTGACAAGCACTGGGAGACACTGACGGTGCAGGGGTCCTGTGGACCGTGTGGGAGCTCTGGGGTGGCCCCCGGCCCCCACAGCCAAGATGCTGGTCCATGGGGCCCTTCCCAGCAGGGTCTGGGCCGTCTGCGCCTCTGGTCGCCCCCCTTTGCTCCCTGTGATCCCAGGAAAACGACCTTTGCCCCATCGGTCCTGGGGCCCTGCACCTCCTGGGAGAGGCCGAGGGCCCGTCTGTGTGTCTCTGGGGAGCAGCCAGCGCTGGACGGCGGTCCCCATGGTGTGCGTGGGCACCTCGAGGCCACAGTGCTCTGCAGGGGCCCTGTGGGTGACGGCCACTCCAGTTGACCCGGCTGGGGTGAGTCCAGGTGACCTGTCCTGCTGTTGCCTGAGGACAGGGTCCATGCCCAGTGGGCAGGGTGGTGGGGGGGAGGCTCCCAGGGACACTGCAGGGGCAGGACCCTGCCCGCCGGCCCTGAAGAAGTCTCAGAGCTCATGGTTCAAGCTTTTCCCAGAAGAGGGGGTGCCCCAGGTCCGGGACGCAGGCTGAAGGACGACACTGCTGCAGAAGCGGGGTGACCCACAGGCGTCTCACTGGGCTAGTCTGCCCCTCAGCCCCCACACTCCAGGGACCCAGAGCCGAGGGGAGGGCACCGGCCACCTGGCCTGTCTGCCGTAGGCTGCAGGCCGAGCAGAGCCTGAGGCTGAAAACCCTTAAATTATTTATTTGAAAATACAAATGTGATCTCGTAAAACGTTTTAAAATCGCGCTCCACAGCAAATACACGTTAACTGTACACAGTTTGTACATCGAGGAGGGAAGGATCGCAGAAGCACCGCAGGGGGCAGCCCGGCGCCCGCGATGCGGGGCGGAGGTGGGGCGCAGGCCCGGGAGGCGCTCCCCGCGGACCAGACGCAGACAGCGACGCGGCGGACTGCGCAGGGCCAGAACCCACGAGCGGGTAGGTCCTCCTGAAACAACTGGGTTCTCTGGGGCGTCACCCGTCCGGTCCTTTCCAAACAGCTCCAGGGGAAGCCAGACCCGTGGGGCTGAGGGCGGCCCCTCCGTCTCCGGGGCAGGCATGCGCTCTGCCCTTGCCCGCCAGGGGGCAGCCCCCTTCCAGGCCCAGCTGCAACCAGCCTCAGCGCCGAGTAAATAAATAGACTCATCACTCCAAACGAGCGCACCTGGTGTTCCGTAACGAGCGCACCCTCTGAAACCGTCACACATGGTGCTGTTTGCTTCCACGCAGGAGCCGCTGTGTGCCGGCCGCGCCCACGGCCCTCGGAGCCCGTCACGAGGGCTGTATGTCGTCATCACTGCCCTCCTCCTCCTCCTCCTCCTCCTCGTCGTCGTACAGGTCAGTGGCGCCCAGGGCGGACGGGGTCTCGAAGAAGGGCCTCTGAGCCAGCGGCGTCCGCAGGGCGCTCAGCTTCTGCTCCACGGGGCTCAGCTCTGCCTCATACCTGCGGGAGGGGCCGAGGTGAGAGCGCGAGGGGGCGGCTGGGGACGGGGCGGGGCTCCCCGAGGACGCGTGGGGGGGTGGGAGGCCGCCCAGAGCAGGCGCGGTGTCCAGGAAACAGGCCGCGGCTGCGTGTGGGCTGTAAGTACACCGGAGGTGGAGAGCCTGGGAGCGCCTGGCCGCCTCTGCGCCGCCCCCCCCCCCGCCGCCGTGCACGGAAGAGCGAGCGTGCGCGCGCAGCGCCGCGTCCCCGCCTGGGGTCGGCGCAGGGTCTGCGAGGGAGGCGGCGAGCACAGCCCAGGACGCCCACACAGGGACGGACGACTGCTCTTCGTCACGCCGGGAGGGGACGTGTGAGGGAGGCGCAGACAGCCCTCCGACCCGGGGAAAAGTGCCCACAGCCCTCTCACCCGCTGCAGGGCTGGTGTCCGGAAAACGGGGTCCCCAGCCTTCCCGGCACCAGGGAGTGGTGTCCTCCAAGACACTTTCCACAGACCCCAGTGCGGCTGGGCGACAGGACGCGACGCCCAGGACAGGCGCAGGGCGGCTGGGGACCCCCGCAGAAAAGGGAACCTCAGACCCCACTGACAGAGCCACGCACTCGGGAGGCCGGGCAGAGGCGGAAGCGCACAGACGCGCGGATGCCGACGGGATGTCCCGCCCAGGGATGACGGTGTGGACCTGCGGCCTGGCGGGCAGGGACCCGGGTGGGGCAGGCACGTCGACCCCGCGGTGCAGAGCCCCTCCCAGGCTGGAGACTCTCACGCGTCCCACAGACGCCGTGGGAAGCAGCGCCACCCAAAGGCCGCACAGGTGATTGCAAGCAGCACGATCCCTGAACCCGGGATCCCCCGCAACAGTGAGTGGCCCGCGCCCGCCGCCTCCCTCCTCAGCCTGTCGGCCCCCTCGCCCCAGCGCCCCGGCCCCCGTCCTGACCCCTCGCCCCAGCGCCCCGGCCCCCGTCCTGACCCCTCGCCCCAGCGCCCCGGCCCCCGTCCTGACCCCTCCCACCGCACTCACCCGTCCTCCCAGGGGTCCCCTGCAGCCTCCTCGGCCACCAGGATGTCGTACTCCTCGGCCGCGTACCTCTCCCAATCCGACAGCTCGGGGCCTTCTGTCTCTGCCTCCTGCGGGAACACGCGTGTCACACGGGCGGGCGGGCGGGCAGCAGGGCCCGGGGCTCGCATCGCACTCACCCTGAGCAGGGACACCTGCTCTCTCTGCTCGTGGTCCAGGTACTTCTCGATGTTGAAGAAGGTGTCGAAGAAGACGTAGGCGAGCTTGCACCTCTTGAGGTCGCGCAGCGTGATCCTGCCTGCGGGGCGAGGGGACGCTCAGGCCTGGGGCGCCCCCGGACTCGGGCACCCGCGCCTCGAGGAAGCCCCCCAAGAACCGCGCATCTCCCTGCAGCCCACCCAGGACCACGCGTGCCGACCCAGTGAGGGACGTGAGCAATGCACGCGGGAGCACCTCCCTGGTGAGGTCGGAGACCTGCGGTCCCCAGCAACCCAGAGGCAGCGGTGGGCTGAGCACACGAGCACTGTGGCCACCAGGGGGCGCTGTGTACACACGATCTGAGCTGCAGGGAAAGGGCCGCCGAGGGTTCCCGGCAGGGACGGACCGCAGGGTCCCAGGACCATTCCCTTCCAACGCCCCCGGCTCAACAGACGTGACGCTAAGAGAGTGAGTGTGTCTGAGTCCAGAGACCGTGTCCCTCTGACCCCAGGGGCCCCACGTCCTTCCTGGAGCATGGCCCACCGCCTCGTGCAGGAAGGCATTCAGGTGGGGGCGGAGCCCCAGCTCCCCTGCAGGTCCCAGTGACCCCACAGGTGCAACCGGGAAACCGGGGGCGGGGGCGGGGGCGGGACATCCAGGCTCCCGGCTCCACTGCTGTGGCTCCACTGCTGTGCCGCGGTCAGGGCGGAGTCGTTGGGAGGGCTGGGGGGCGGAGCAGACAGGATGGGTGGGAGCACCCTGGCTGCTGTGTGGAGGGCGGCGCCCACCCACACCAGGCTGCGACGCCCCTTGGGTGCCCCAGGCACTCACTGCGGGGACAAGGCACTGCCCGCCCTGGCCCGGCACTGGGAGAGCTTCGGTCCTCGGAGTGGGCCTCCCTGCAGACATCCTTCTCATCTTGGGTGTCCTCGTTCACGCGAGTGCCCCCCCAGGAGCCACGCCCCACCCTCGCATGGGGCGCCGGCGGACGCACCTGGGCACTCGGGCTGCACCAGGTCCAGCATCTGGCAGAGGCAGTCTTCGAAGGGCAGGGCCTCGATGCCCATGCCCTCCAGCCGGCGGCTCTGCTCCTCGTAGAAGTGCTGCAGCTCGAACATGGACAGCGCCCCGTCCCCGTCCAGGTCCATGCAGCGGAACCAGTACTCGATGCTGCCCACGGGCGGGGGCGGGCTCAGCCTGGCTGCCGGAGACGCAGCAGCCCTCCCCCCGGAACCCGGGTGGCAGACCCCTCACCCACACCTGGAGGGCTACACCGGCTGGGACCGACACCCCCAGCACACCCCCCAGGGGGCGTTCTCAAGGAACCAGCGAGACCTGCGGGCCCACGCGTCCGTGGCAGCACCAGCCCTACCTGGTTGGGGTCTTCTTGTCTTCCTCGGAGATGAGGAACCAGACAAAGTCGGCGTAGCTAATCTTCCCCTCTTTCTGCACTTTCCTGCCTCTGCATTCAAGGGATGGAGAGACAAGGCCGTGTCCACCGAGCAGCATCAGGAGGAAGCCCCAGTCCATCTGCCAGGCCCGCCGCGCCAGTCTGTGCCCCATGCAGGGGCCTAAGGGAGGCTCCTGGGCCCTGTGGGGGAGCAGCTGCCGCAGCCTCACCCACACTGCCTCCCGGGCGCAGGGGCCCAGCCGCAGGCTCCCTCGGACACCTGGGGTCACACGCGGGCCACTTCCACGGGTGCCCACATGTGTCCTCTTCACGGCCTCCTGTGACCATGGTGTGCGCCCTCCCTTCCCAATGACCCTGCGGGAGGTGACTGAGTTGCGTGACGTGACCGTGTGTCTCGTGCGTGACCCTGTGAGTCCTGCGGGACACCACATGTTCCCTCCCCTGACATCCGGTCCCAGCCGTGCACACGGTGGGGCCCTGAGCGCCCCAGAGCTGAGCGCTCACCCAGACCCGTGCCCCAGAGAACAGCCCGGCACAGACACGTACCGCGTCACGGCTCCGGAGAAGATCCTCTCGACCATGCGTGTGGAGATGGCTGCGGGAGACACAGCCGTGAGCGCGAGGGCCCAGCTGCAGCCTTGCAGGGCCGGCGGGGCGGGCGGGTGGACCCGGGAGCTGGACGTCCCGCGCGTGCCCTACACACTCGAGAGGCCACGCAGAGCCCACTCACAGGCACGGGCGTGCCGGGCGGCCCCCGGGCCCCGAGACAGAGCGGAGGGCACAGGGGTGGGTCTGCGGTCACAGCACAGCACCCGAGTCACCGTCCCTGGGGCCGGAATAGAAACCCATCTCGGGGGCACACAGCGTAGCTGATCACTCATCAGCGTAAGAAACAGATGCCGCAACGGGGTGCGGTGCTGCAACGGGAGCCCCAGACGAGGTGCATCGAAGGAGGCACATTTGTCTCCCCGTCCTGGAGACTGGAGGCAGGGACCCAGGGGTGGGCAGGGCTGGCCCCTCCTGAGGCCTCTCTCTCCCCTGGGTGTGTGGACGGCCGTCTTCCCCCGTGTCCTCACAGGGTCCTCACCTCCTCCGCTTAAAAGGAACCCCGTCCTGTGGGATCGGGCCACCCCGGTGCCCCCAGTGCGCCATCCCCTCTCCGGACACGCACCCCAAACAGCCGCGGTCCGAGTCCTGCGGGTGAAGACCCGACGTGCACGTCTCCAGGGACACAGTCCAGCCCGCAGGCAGCACGGTGCCCAGGAGACGGGGGCTGAAGGCAGCCTGTCCCCGTCCCTGCTCCCCTGCCTCGGCCGTGCTCACTCCAGGTGGGGATGACTGGGGTTGGAGGGTGGGACCTATTTTCCAAAAATCTACGCCCTGTCCCGATCCTCAAGACCCGTGAACTGCACCGTATTTGTCAACGGGGTCTTTGCAGGTGGGACGAATGAAAGAGCTGACAGGACGTCATCCTGGGTCTCTCCCCCCCGCCCCTGCGGCGTGCGCACCGTGGTCGTTGTGCCGGGCCAGGTCCTGCGGGTCGATGAGCAGGTCGTGGTCAGTGTCCAGCTCCCAGAACTTGCAGTAGATGACATAGAAGTGCTCGTAGGAGAAGAACTCCGTCAGCTGGTTGATGTCCGCCTCCTCCTCCAGCAGTGCCACGTTCTGCAAACGCCCCGAGACGCTGCCACGGTTCTGGAGGCACGGGCCTCCCGGGGGGGGGCCTCGGAAACCCCCCCAGGAAGCCAGGGGGCCTAGGCCCTGCTTGAGGGTGGGAGCACAGACGCCCTGGGGGCCAGCATGGGGCACCCCCCCCCGCAGGTCCCCCCTGCTCCTTAGTCCCCCCATGCCACGTGCCCCACGCCCTCGGTGCGCAGAGCACTCCACAGTCCTGTGGGCTCTGCCTCCTGCACAGGCGGCAGGAAGAACAGACGTGGGAGAGAGAGTGGGTGGGTGGAGGTCCGGCCCCACCCCGCCGCAGCTGCCCACCTGCAGGAAGGTGCTCCTGCGCAGCTCAGCACAGGTGATCCTCCCGGACCAGGACCTGTTCACAGCGTAGAAGATCCTCTGAATGACCTGCGGGGCAGGGGGCTTCAGCACAGAAGGGCACCGGGCTGCAGGACCACCCGCCGCCAGCAGACGGCGCCCGCGGCCCGAGGCCCCCCAAGAGACAGGTGGGCGGGGCCTCGCACCCAGGGCGGAGCCTGTGCCTGAGACAGACACACCTGGGCTGTGGTGGTGCTACCTTTGGTCAAATCGCAATCACCTCCAAATACATGCCCACTAACTCACCACCCCAGGAACAGCAGGAACTGAAGGCCGGGCTAGAACACATCGCAGCCCTCACGGAGGCCAGCCCTGCGCACACCGAGCTGTGCCCACCCAGGATGCGCCCCACACGTGGCTGGCCACAAACCCTTGTTTACACCGTCCAACATCCCGACCCCGTGACGACCCCATGACGGTGACAGGCGTGGGCTGAGTGTGAATCACGGCCCCGGCCCACCGCGTGTGATGGAAGGTGTGCTTCCAACCAGAGCAGGTGCTGGAGCAGCAGGCACCGGGGGAGCGCGACGGGCCCTGCCCAGCGCGGGAGGCAGGGTCTGGGGCGCCCTGTGCCCTCACTGTGCTGCTGACTCAGGAGGTGCCTGGCGCCCTGGTCCCTCGTGCACCGAGCCCTGCCCAGCTGAGACCGGAGAGCTCATCCAGGGCGTGGGGCCTGGGACCCGGACGGCCGCTGGTACTCACAGTGGTGATGTAGCGCGAGTGGAACTCCGACGCCTCCTTCAGGAAGGCCAAGCCGGGGTGGGTGTTCACCACGTCCTGCACGGGGGACAGGGTGCAGCTGGGCACGCCAGGCCCTCCACTGAGCCCCAGGCCCCTGCTCCGAGGGCTGCTGGGCGCATACGCCGTGTGTGCAGTCACAGACGTGTGGTTACATACGACCACGTGCCCACGCCCCAAGGGGCCCCACGCTGGGTGCTCTTCCCTCCATCTCGGACCCCAGGTCCCACGGGGCACGGCCTGTCGGGACAGGTCTGTGCCGACGACCACACAGCCGAAGGGCGGCTTGCCCCGTTAGCTCTGGGGGGCGTGGGGAGCCCCGTGGGCGCAGCAGGATGACTGGCCTGTGTGGGTGTGCACGCTGCACCACTCCGTGAGGAGTGGCCAAGAAGCACGGCTTGCGAGCTGTGAATTAGCGTAGGGGGCGGGGGCGGAGGAGGGGCGGGACGCATGCGCTGTGGCCAAGGTGGTACCTGAAGGAATGGGACGAAGTCCTCCTGCACCAGGTAGTTGCAACCCGGGCTCATGAGCAGGTGGACGAACCGGGCAGCGTCGTCGTGGCAGTTCTGCAGGATCCTGGGGGCAGGGAGAGTGTCCACATGTCCCACTCACACCTTTGCACCTACACCGCCCGCCCCAGCGCGGGGACGGGGCGCTGCCATCCGGGCAGGAACGAGGGCCCCGCAGGACGAGCTCTGGAACAGGCGGCCCAACCGCCCGCCCAGCCCAGGCCCAGGACTTACTTTCTCCACATGGCGACGAACTTGTGGACGGAGACAGAGCCGGTGCGCTCCCCGCCGGCGCAGCAGAAGAGGGGCCCCTTCCAGTACAGCGGGCAGCCACAGGCCTGCGTACAGGGCACCGGCGTGAGGGTGCGCCCCCTCCGCACCCGGAATGCCAGCATGCGCTCAACCGGCTGTGCCGGGCGCAGAAACGGATCCCACTGCAGGGCCACCACCCCGAGCAGGGCAGCACCCCCGAGAGTGACGAGCAGCAGGTCCCCCGCCCTGGACACGAAGCGGCAGCTGGTAAGCCACCGGGGAGACGAGAGGTTGGAGAACATCGTGAGTGTGGCAACGCGGCCGCCCAGGATGAGCGCCCGGACATCCGTCCCTGCACTGGGGAAGAGGGCTGACCCAGGCACGCGGCTTCCACTCAGAAAAGGCAGGCTTGAAAGAAAAAGCAAGTGCTCAAGGGGGAAATCAACAAAACCTAAAGCGTGCTGCTTGAAAAGGCTTGCAGTAATCAACTACAACTCGGCAAAGCTCTGCGGGAAGAAACAACACACCGGTGCCCAGGTTCGCGGACACCTCGGGCCTGGGGCGGCTGACCCAGGGGACATGCAGGCCGAATAACTGGACGCCGACCCCCCAGTTGGCGGATGACTCCGCCACAAGGACACAACATTAAGTCCCACGTCATCCCAGTGGTCGGTCTGGTCCTTATCCCTCATCCCCGTCGGCACCCACGGCCGCGCCTTGGTCCCTGTCCGCTGCCCACGCCCACGGCGTGGCGGGGAAGTAAACACAGGCCTCCTTCAGCAGCCGGTTTCTGTCCGCTGGGGACCTAATGCCCTCACGCTGCTTTGAGCAGTGGCACCCACAGACCGGACGGCCCTGCGAGGACGGAGGCTCGGCAGACGCAGAAAACCTCAGCGCGTCCTCACCCCACCTCGCCGGCAGGCGCCGCGGGCAGGGACTCCGGAGGGCCTGAGAGCAAGACCACGCACACCCGGTGACCGGGCCAGCGCAGCACCGGCCCCTCCCCGCAGGCCAGGAAAGCACAGGCCGCTCCCAGGAGCGCGCACTCCTCTCCCGGCACGACGCCCGGCCGGCGCGCTCCCGGCTGCGGACCGAGCCGGCCGCTCTCTGCCCCGAAACAAGTCCCGGCTACGGAGACGCACGGCCGTCGGAGCCCGTCGCTGCCGACACCGGGGTAAGTCGAACATCCACCATGACAGGCGTCCGAGGAGCTGCAACATGTCGAGACCGGAACCACCACCGTCCACAAGACTCCTGCGCGTGGGGGGCGTGGCAGGGCGGCAGGACCGAGCAACGACAGAACAGAACGGAGAGATCCGACAGCCACATGTGTGCGCGCTGGTGGGAGGCGCGCCCGGGACACAGGGAGGGCGGCGTGGCTGTGCGGGGAGCCGCTGCGGAGAGAAGACAGTACCCCCGTGTCTGCGGAAAAGAGGACACGGCACACAAAAGCCTGGAAATCGGCGTGACAGAAAAACCACTAACACTGAACACTGCTTTCTGGGAAGGGTCACACACACAAAACAAAACGTGCACAGAGGGCTGGAGGACAGAGAGACGGGACCCGCACGTCCCCGTCAGAAGTGGCGGGACGAGGTCTCCCGAGACTGTGAAGCCGGGTGGGGAACCTGGGAAAGAAAAACACGAGCCGCTGCACCACGAGCTCAGGGCGGAGCCGCGCAGCCGCAGGGCCGCGACCCCCACTGTAAACAGGCTGTCACCGGGAGAGACGGAGCAGACAGGCCCAGCCGCCCAAACAGCTCCCCTGCCGAGCTCAGCCCCGGGGAGGACGCGGCTCCAGGCCAGCCAGGCATAAACACGGCCCCTCGGGGCCTAGGAGCGCCGCCGCCCACGCAGCAGACGCCGCCGCACAAACGCAGACCAGGCACCGCCTGCGCCGGCACGGGCCACAGAGGGGCCGTTGGGACGCTTCCGTCCACCTCAGAGTGGGGGTCCCACGCGAGAGGGTGCTCAGCCCCCAAGAGGCACGGTCCCGCACCCAAGTCTGCAGCAGTGGTGCGCGCTGCGGGGCGCTGTCCTGCCGAGGGGCGGCCGCGGGAATCCACGACGCGAGCCGAAGGTGACGCCCAGGGACCACACGTTTGCGGAAAGAGGGTCAAGGCCCCCACAGGGAAAGCCCCGGCGCAGCCCGCCGCGCGCTGACGACTCCCGCGGAGGGAGGCTGCGGAGGTGGGAGCCGGCCCACGCGGTCCGGTGAGGGGCCTGCTCCCGCACCCCGGAAGCCGCCCGCCCGACGCCAGCGCCGGCGCGGAGGCTGCTGTGCGGAGGCCGAGGGCACTCGGAGGCGCAGGGGCCCACCGAGAGGGTCCCGGCCGGGGAAGCCGGAGAAGAGCCGCCGCTCCCGCGGAGCTGAGGCGCCTGTGGCCGAAGCTCCCGTGCGCAGGACGGCCCCGGCAGACTGCAGAGGCGGCTCGGTCGGCTCCCCAGCGCCGGGACTGTGACGAGCTCCGTGCGGCGACAGGCTGTGCCGCAGCCTCGAGCGCCCCGCGGGCCACAGCGCCCCGCCCCGGAAGACCAGCCGGAAGTGCCGAGCGGCCCTGGGGGTGGAGCCCGAGCGGGGGGGTGGGCGCTCGCTGCAGGGCTGGTGGCCGGCGGGTTTGAGGCCCAGGACACACACGGACGGAGGGCGGGAGGAGCCAATGGGAGGGCCGCTCCGCCAGCACCGAGGAGGCCCACTAACCCCAGACCCCGGCAGGGGGGCCAGAGCAGCCCGGGCGGCAGGGCGCGTGGCCACGCGTCTGGGCAGCACCCGCACCTGGCCGCACGCCGGGCAGTGGGCCCTGCCTCACGCGGGTGTTACCCCCCGCTCGCCTGGGAGGGGACGCAGGACGCGCCCGTTCCCTGACACTGGGGATAAAGGTGAACCCAAGGCCCGGTGTGCGTGACCCTCCGACTGCAGGGCGTGGGCCCAGGCCACCAGCTCTGACCGCGGCCACCGCAGGACGCCCACCTTGGCCACTCTGCCCATGTCCTCCATGGTGGCCCTCTCGTGCGGGAACTGGGCGAAGGTCCTCTCGATCTTGGCGATGACGGCGTCCGTGTTCGCCGTGTCCTGCGGCCGACCTCGGGGGAAGTAGAAGGCGGGAATGCTTTGGCTGGAGGCTGGCGGCCGGGGCTCCTCCTTCCTCGTCTGCACCTGGGAGACAGGACAGGAGGCGGCTGGTGTTAGACCTCGGGGCGCCAGTGTGCTCCGAGCGCCCGTGTGTGACGGCCAGCTGGGACGGGTCCGCAGTGCGGCCCAGCTGCCTGCTCTGGGTGTGGGCGGGGACCCCCGCCCGGTGCTCCGGCTGAGTGCAGCTGGAGCCGCGCACACAGCAGGCGATGCTCCCCCAGCGAGTGCCACGCAGGGCCCACTGCCCAGCAGTGTCCTGCCGCTCTGCCCGGGGCAGGGGGACCCCAGCACAGGGACGGCTGCCACCCTGGCTGCTGAGGCCGCCCCGCACTGCACAGGGTCGGCCCCGCGCTGCCTCCCCCCAGGAAGTCAGGGCCACACAGGTGGGCTGTGCGTGCTCCCACGGGGCTGGGGGGCTTTGCCTGCAGCCCACAAGGGTCCTGGTTGTCCTGAGTCCTCACGACATCAAGATGCCCGCCTTGCCCCCCCAGGGCTGGGGGTCACCTCCACCCTGGCCCTGCGGCCCTGCCCCAGGCGGACGCCTGGCCGAGACAATTCCAGCAACTCTGTGCTGCGGCCCCCACGACAGGCCCTCGAAGGACAGGAGGGGGCTGTGCCCGGCTGTCCCGGGCGCAGCAGGTCGTGAGCTGCTATCCGTCACTGCCCCTTCTGTGGGCAGCGGTGGACGTATCCTGTGCAGTGGCCACAAAGCCACGGCTCTGGGGCTCAGTCCCTTGGGACTGACACCATGTTCGCTCGCTCGCTCTCGCTCTCTCACACACATACACTGCTCGCCTGCCCCAGGCCACCTGGGGCAGCAATGCGAGGACAACAGGCTGTCCCTGGGGCACGGAGCCTGGGCTCCCGTGGCTGAGCCTTGGGGATGGGCCACCCAGCACCGACCCCTGGTTGCTGTGGGCACACACACAAGCACACCCTGAGAGGCGGTGTGGGTGTGCAGTGCCCCTGGGGCTCGTGCTGCATCTGCTCACAAATGCAAAACCCAAAAGAAACGCCAGGTTCGCCGTCAGCAGACACCGTGCAAGGACATGCTGTGGGCCATGTGTCGGGCAGGGGCCCGGGGCCCCAGACACGCCTGAAGTGCACGGAGGAGGCAGGCCTGAGGGGCCGGTGCAGCTGGGGGCAGCGCGCACATGCCCAGCACAGGGATCCGCACGAGGACGAGGACGCAGCCTCACGCCCCTGAAACCTGCAGGTCGGCAGCGCCATGTGCACGAGGGGGAGGAACACCGGCCGTGCGCTGAGGAAACATGCGTGGCCCCCACCGCCAGGACGAGCAGGGGGCCGGGAGGCAGTGGCCTGCACGGTGGACGCGGCGGCCAGACAGAGGGGACAGGGAAGGACAGGGCAGTGAACGGCTGAGAACAGGCCGGAACGGGGGAGACTGCTCAGTGCACGGTAACTGTGAGTGGGCTGAACCTCTGCCCCGAAGACAAAGGCCAGGCTGGAAGAGACCTCGTTCATTTGTGAGACACGGGCCGACAGGGACAGGGACAGGGACGTGTTTCTGAGAAGACAGAGAAAGAGCAGGGACACGGCAGCAGGTGGGAAGCCGGGGTGTCCAAACGCTCACACCGTCCCAGCAGCGATGCCAGGCCTGGGCTCTGGGACCAACCCTCGGGGCCGCGCAGCCCGCCGACACCAGCCGCCTGCACTCCCTAGAGACGGGCCAGGCCGCCACGCTTCGGGCCAGCCGCCTGCACTCCCTAGAGACGGGCCAGGCCGCCACGCTACGCACGTTAAGTACGCTTTCAGTGCACGGCGTTTCCAAGTCTCGACGGGTTTAGGGGCGTGGGACCCCGCGGCAAGCTGAGGAGCGCGAGGCTGTGTCCACAGGCAGGCAGAGGGCGTGGGCCCTGGGAAGAACAGCACCACCGCGTCCCGGGGTGGGAACCGTCACACCCCAAGCGCCGGGGACCAGCACCGAGGGCAGGCGCCGGCAGGAAGTGCCGAAAGGCAGCACGGAGGCAGGCCGAGCCCAGGGCACCCCCACCCACCCCCCCCCCCGCCCCCGCCCCGCCCCCAGAGCTGCCGGGACAAGGAGAAGCAACGCAGGCCGGGCCGGTGTGGACAAGGGGATTTGCAGGCTTAACCTCCGGGACAGAAATAGAGCCGCCGGCACAGCTGCGGAACACTCTCTTCCCACCCTGTGGGGAGCTGGCCAGCTGCCGCGGCGGACTGTGCGCCGGGGACAGCGCTTCCTGACCGTGGTGTGCCCGGGCTGGACGCCAGCGAGGAGGACAGAAGCAGCCGGGACGGGTGCAGGGACGTCAGTGTGCGCGGGGGTCAGGAGGACCTCGAGGCGGGCCTCCGGCCGCCCAGAGAGGACTCGCAGCAGGACACCACTGCACAGCGGGCTCCTCGCCCTCCCCTCCCAGGCTGCGGCCGCCTGCCCTGCCCTGTCGCCGGGTGGGTGGCGATAAAGCCGGCGCCCTCCCCACACGGAGCTATTTCGGACCCGTCCTAATTCCAGGAATCGCAGAGATGCCTGCGGCCTCCGGCCTCCCAGAGCACACCGAGCCGCTGCTCGCGTGCCCGGGCCCCTGCGCACACGCCCCGCAGACGGAGACCTGTGAGTGCGTGTGTGCGCGGGCGGAGTGCCCGCAGTGCCGGGAGCCTGCACCAGACAGCGGCCAGGTCGGCCTGTGGACACACCGCTGCCCACCGAGGGCCGGGCCCCAGTGCCGCGGGCAAGTGCGGGACTCGGGAAGCGAGCCTGCCCCACCGCACCGCACGGGCCTGGCAGGCAGAGGGGTCCCCGCACGTGGGAGGGGCCCAGCAGGGCAGGCAGACACGCCAGGAAGGGCCGAGAAGGGCCGCGGGCCCCAGGGCACACGCCCACGTGGCACAAGAACTGGCCGCCACGCTGGGCCCTGACTGTGCCGCTCGGCCCGGTGGCACAAGGGTTCCGCATGAGCCGGGTGCCCACGGCCCGGCTGTCTCTCCCGACGGGAGGCCGGGAGACTGCAGCTTCCATCCAGGTGCACAGGGCCCTCCACACCCCTGGCAGACCAGCCCAGGGGACGACCACAGCAAACGAACAGGCGCACGTCTAACACAGAGGGACGAGACACAGAGAGAAGGAGGCAGGCCCCTTGCAAGGCTGTCCTCAGAGGTCGCCTGTCCACACCCTGCCCGGGCGGCTGGGCAGGTGGGGGCACCATTCTGGTCAGGAAAGCCTCCCCGGTCAGGGTGTGTGCCTGTGGGGGCGGTCTGACGCCCGGTCGGGGTCTCTCGCACGCCCGGTGTCTGTCTGCCTCCCCGTCTCCTCCCCACTCTGCGGAGGCAGTGCGCGCACCCTTGGGTGGGGTGGGCGGCAGCCTGCCTGTGCTCGGGGAGGGCAGGGCGGGGGACGGGCAGCGGGTGGTGCCAGCCACGTGCCGTGTGCAGGGGGCGGCATGTGGGGGTCTGCACCCTGGCCTCTTGCTCGGGGTACCCCGGGAAGTGCCCGGGACCCCCTGCCCGGCACTGTGACGGCACCGGGCCAAGCGGGAGGAAGCGGCCTGGGACCTCACGGCCATGCTGCAGGCAGCCCCGTGGCCCAGGCGCACCGCAGCCCGCCGGGTGGGCAGGGCAGCGTCCCTGTCACGTCTGACCACACCCCCACCATCCCCCTGTGGGCTCCTCACGGCCCTCTGGCCATCACTCCCACCCCCCAACCGCATGCAAGGGCCCACCTGCTGAGGCTGTGCCCCTGGCCACGCTGAGCCACACGGGCAGAAACACCCAGGCAAGGTCCCTCTGCCTGCCCCACTCCCCGAGGGGCAGACTCTCTGGTTCTTCCCCGCCCACGGGGGTCCCGCCACAAAGGTGTTCACACGACGGTTCACACCGTCCTCCCTGAAACCTCCGTGGACACATGTGCTGTACAACGAGAAACAACACCCCGCTCAGGGGACTCAGGGCTCCCGCTCCCCGAACACCGATGTGTCTGCGGGAGCAGCCGCCCAGACACAGTCCGGACGCGGCAGGAGCAGCACCCCACACACTGCACGCTCGCCCTGGACCGCCCCGCAGGGCGCCGAGGGCCCCAAGCAAGGGCATGTCGTGCGGTGTCCACTGAGAGGGCCCCCGAGTCGGACGAGTTTGGACAGACGGCCCTTCTCGAGGAGGGGCAAACGGCAGCCCCGAGCTGCTGGCAGACGGCGTGGGGAGCTCAGGACTCGGGACAGACAGGAGGGGGCAGCGGCCTCTGTCCCCCCAAGCGAACCTCAGGGTCCGGCGCAGCCTCGTCCTCAGGCCACCACAGGGCGCCCGCTCGCAGCGCTGGGCCAGAGGCAGGGAGGGTGGCTGCGGAGCAGGGTGGGGGTGCCCAGCGGGAGCAGGGGCTGAGGCTCGGCCGGTGGGAGAACCACCGGTCACAGGGGGGGTGCACACGCACCCCAGGAACGCTCCGCAGCCCCTGCACTTACACCGCACAGCAGCCGGCAGCCGGCAGCCCCAGAGACCCGCCCTGCCGCTTGGAGGGCTCGCGGGGGTGCCGGCCAAGCCTGCCGCCCACGGTCCCTGAAAAGCACTGAAACCTGTTCTCCAGGCCGGCCAGGTGCGACTGTCTCAACAGTCCCCTTTAACCGCCCCACAGCTCGGCGCCCCACACGTGCGCGCACGGCACACTCTCCACGGGGAGAGCGCGCCTGGGCCCCGACAAAGGGCCGAGCCCGCCGATTTCACGCCGGGCCATGGGCCGCACGCATGCTAGAGCCAGTCCGCGGGGCACCGGCGGCCACAGCTCGGGAGACGGGGCCGCTGCAGTTCCGGGAGGGAGCTCTGCCCCAGCAAACTTCCCGAGCCCGCACTGACCCCCACCCCGAGCGGCCGGGGAGCGGGAGCAGACCCCTCCCCAGGGGACGGACTGACCCCCACTGACCCCCTCCCGCACAGACCCCCACCCCAGCGAGGGGCCGGGCGCGCCCCCGTGGGGACAGACACACAGACAGTGGACGGACGGACAAACGGAGGACGTGCGGACCTGCACCTGCTGGAAGGCCTTGAGCCGCTTCTTGAAGCGGGAGGGCAGCACGAAGTCGCAGCCGCGGGCCAGCGCGGCCAGCTCCTGCCTCAGGTCCGGGTCCTGGCGCAGGGACAGCTCCCGGAGCCGCATGTCCGCGCGCGCGGGCCGCCGGGGCCCGGGGTCTCGGGGCTGGGCCGGGGCGGGGGGCTCGAGGCGGCAGCCGTGCCGGGCGGGGCGGAGAGGGTGGCCGGGCTCAGCGCGCTCCATGCGCGGCCGGGCGGGCGCTCTGGGGGCCGGCCCTGGGCCGCGCACATTCCACAGGCTGAGGCGGGCACATGGCTGGAGGGTGGGGGAGGCAGGGCCGGCAGGGCAGTGGCGGCGAGCAGGGAGCCCGCTGCTGTGGCGGCGGCGGCAGCAGCCGAGAGGGAGGGAGGGAGCCCCAGGAGGCTGCTGGAGCTGTTCTCTAGCTGTTTGTTCTCTGTGCGGGTGGCGGGAGGGGCCCAGCGACCGTCTGCAGCTCAGCCCACCCAAGGGACCGCGACAGAGACTGAGCCGGAGCAGGTCGGCGGCGGCGAGTGCCCCGGAGGGAGGGGACAAAGGCGCGCTCCAGAGAAGGGGAGGCCGTGCGGCAGCGGACGGGACCTGTCCCGGAGCGCGCGCCCTGCCCTGCGGTTCTGGGCCGGCCGCGGACGGACCAGCGGCTCCCTCCCCACAGGCGCGCACACAGGGTCTGCCGGCTCCGCCCCCTCCCCCGCGGTCCAGCGCCCAGCGCTGACACCGCGCGTCCCAACTCCCAAGGGCAGGCTCGGGCTGTCTGCCCAGCGCCGAGGGGCAGGCAGGGAGTCCGCAGGGCCGGGTGGCGTGGGGGCCACTCCACGCGGCTCCGGGATGAGATGTAGACACCTCGGGGTGGGACGTCCTGACCGCGAGGCGGATGAAGAGGGCGGGGCCGGCAGAGATGGGGCCCAGATGCGGAGTTCACAGCCCAGGCGTCCCGGAGGACGGGAGGAAAGAGACGTCCACAAAGCCCAGGGGCGTCCCACGTGGGGGTTCTGAGGAAAACCTCTCAGCAATAACGCGAGTTCATGCGCCCTCGGCCGTGGAGCAGAGTACCCCCCCTCCACAGGGAAGGGCGTGGAACAGACGTGGGGACACGGGACACAGGACGGGGCAGTTAGCTCCAGTGCTGCCCTGCGAGTGACGGAGGGCGGGCTGTGCTGGGGGGAGGGGAGCAGGACCCTGTGTGCTGACAGCAGGACAGCAGGACAGCAAGACAGCAGGACAGCAGCACTAGGTGGGGTGGGGTGGGGCCGAGGGGCATCCGGCTGCCCCAGAAGAGAGAAGGCCTCGGGGTGGCTGACCTCTCCGAGCCAGTGTGGCCGGGCGCACGCTGAGCAGCGCCCCACTCCATCTGGGGTCCCGCACCCCAGCACCGTCAGGGTCCATGCACCTCACAGCCTGGCCCTGGCGGCGCCTGCCTGCCAGCGCCGACTGCCCAGGAGGGACCCTCTTCCCTGGGCACAGTCCAGGCCGCTCCCCTCAGCGAGGCCCCCGGAGGCCGGCCTCTCCTGGTCTTCGCCCCTCCCTGTGCCCTCGCTCTGTCGCCCAGGGCCCCCCTGAGCCTGCCAGGCACAGCCCCGTGTGCAGAGGGGTCACCAGCTCCCCAGGCCAGGCCCCCAGCCGCATGGTGACAGGGCCCCCGACAGGCAGGTGCCACTGGCATGTCCCTGCACGGTGCCAGAACCCAGCTGAGCCGACAGAGCATAGCAGCCTCCCCACTGCCCGCACTGCGTCTCTGATGGATGAATGGCCTCTTTTCCTCCGGCAGCCTCGGGGTCGCAGATGTGGGGCAGGAAGCACACAGCCCCCGTGGGCTCCGGCACGCCCCACTGTTCACGTGCTGTTTGGGGTGGGGGGCTGCATGCATCACAGCTGCCGCACCAGCTGCACTAAAGTGCAGCCCCCCCAACCCCCAGGCACGTCCTCCACCATATCCACGCACAGTTCCTCGGCCGGTGGTCCCTTGCACCCCCACTCACCCCGGGCACCTCTGATCACTCACCGCCCCGAGTTCTGCCCCTCCCCGCTTACCACCAAGTTGGGGGCAAACAGGAGGGGCCCTGGCTGGCTCTCCCTCTTCCTTCAGTGTCTGCACCATCTGAATCCCCGTTCCTTTCTCAGGCTCTCCTCAGGGAACTCCCCCGGGGCTCCCGCTCCTGACGCACCCTGTGTCTGCGCAAGTCCACCTTCCTGCACGCTCCTTGGATGTCGTGAAGGACTCAGGGTGTGACCCCCTCAAAGTTCTCCAGACAGCGGGGACACGACACCACCAGGAGAGGGGCGGAAGACAGGGCGCCGGCTGACCTGGGAGCTGGGCTGGAAGGCTGGGTGGGTGCTCAAGCTGTCCCCTCTGACGCCCAGGGGCCACACACGGGAGGCCACTCGGCACCATGCTGCCGACGGGCAGCACGCGGAGCGATGCCGGTCAGGGGACTGGAGCCAGAATGCCACCCAGGCGGCAGTGGGGCGGTCCTGCGCACTGGCTGGCTTCCTGCTGGGGCTCTCGTTTGTCCCCCTTCCCTGCAGAGCTGGAGAGGAGGTGCTGCTCCTGCAGCCTGGCCCACCGCCCTGTGCAGCGGAGCGTCCTCTGACACAGGCAGGGAGGCCCCTCCGGCCCTCCAGGAGCTGGTGCGCATGGACACAGGAGCACCCTGGACCTGGGCCCATGGGCCTGCTACCTGTCCTGCAGAAGCCCCAGCAGCCCCAGATGGACCGCACGCCACAACCGTCCGTGTCTGCCCACGTGGAAGGTGAAGCCCTGCACCAGCCGAAGACCCCTCGCTGGCGTGCGGGGTCAGAGGCCGGGGTCCCTGGGCCCCCAAGACCTGCCTGCACGCTCTCACGGGCTCCTAGCTGCCTCCTCACGCAGAGCTGGCCTGTCCGTACTCCGTGTCCCCAGTCCCGCCTGGACGCAGGCCCTGGGCACGAAGAGCAGGCATGCACCTGGAGCGCTGCTGGGCCCGGTCCGACACAGTGGGCAGCTCCACAAAGAGGATGTGAGCAGTCCAGGGAGCATGGACGGACAGTACAGACGGACGGATGCCAGAGGGAGTTCCCCGCAGTGCTGGAGGGAGTGACCTGAGGCCCGGCCTGCAGGCACAGCTGGGCGCAGAGGGGCAGGCTCCAGCAAGGCTCCGCCGGGCAGGCTCTGTGCTCACTGCGAAGGGCTCCAGGTCAGAGCTCAGCGGCAATGCCACGGGACTGCCGTCCCCGGGGGTCCTGATGGACCTCCCGCTGCGCTCCTCGGTGGGGGGGGGGGCTGTCTACGCCCCACCGTCTGTGAAGCTGCCTCCAGCCCCACTGCCCACGCTCCTTGGACACCCACTTTCCAGAGAAAGCCCTGGACCCCACAGAACACCACCACCAACTCAGCTAAGCTCCTGCCCGTCTTTGGGTGGACATCCACCCGCCCCTCTCCCTCGGGTGACGGCTGCATTTTGCTGGGGACCCTGTGGCACTGAATGGTACCAGTCTGTGACATGCTTGCTGCTGCAGAGGGCACAGAGGCTCCCACTGAGAATTGAACGGTTAACAGCAAATTTCAATGCAGTACCCCAGGAAGACTTTAGCACCAGCCCTACGTTTCTTGGAAACAAGTGGAAGCTGCATCTTATTAGACGAACCCTGTGCTAAAAGGCAGTAGTCAGCTTGTGTTTCACGCTCTGTCCAGCTTGACACACTACGGCTAAAACGTCAACCTTCAGGAGCTTGCTGGGTTACAGTGTCCTCCCAATAATCCGCGTTGCAGTTCGACCCCGTCGGGGTGCACTCAAAAAACAACATGTCAATGAGTGACTGAGCAGAGCAACACACAGATCTCTCTCTCACGTAAACAAACAAACAAAAAACCACATCTCACACCACCTGAAAAAAACTCCAAAATTACGACCAACATGGGACCCTACATTTTCAGCTTGTAGAGCTGTCTTTTTTAGGGGGCGGGGTGGGGGGGTACACACCACATGAGCCAGCGCTCACAACTGCCGTTGCCACCCCCTGCTTCCTCCGGCACCTGCCACGCGCGTCCACGTCCCGAGTTAACTGGCCCTGGGCAGGCGTTAGCGGAAGGAAGGGAAACTTACTCCTCTCGGCCCCGTCGACCTGCGAGTCCCGCGGACATGCGGCCCGTGCCTGGGGCTGGAGGCGGAACCCACGGGCAGCACGGGCGCCGCGGGGGCCGGGGCGGCGGGCGTGGGCCGGGACCGCCCCGCGTCGCCGTCGCCGCAGTCGGCCCGCCCCGGCGCCCGGATCCTCTGCAGACAGTCCCGCAGCATGGCCTGCGTGCCGGCCTCGCTGAGCCAGCGCAGGAACAGCTCGTCCACCTTCATCTTCAGCACCGGCTGGAGGGCTTTACCGGGCGGCATCTCCGAGGCTCGGCCCCGCCTTTCTGGGAGCCCGGATCCTCACGCCAGGGCCCGAGTGCGGCCGCCAGGGACCTCGGAGCTGCAGGACACAAGCGCAGGCGGCGCCCGGCCGGGCTGGGGTGCGGGCCCGGGACTCGGGACTCGGCGGCGACCGGCCTGACGAGACTTTGCGGTCCGGACGCGGCGGCGCCCGCGCCTCGGCAGTTTGCACAAACTCTGGGATACCGGCTGAGGCGGCCCAGGCAGAACGCGCGCGGCAGAGCAGCTTCAAAACGGCCGCGCCAGCCGCGCTCCCAAACAAAGTCGCCCACGTCTCGCGTCACCGCGGCGCGTGGCGTCATCATGGCGGCGCACGTCGCTGCGGACCGAGGCGCCGGCCGCCGGGGTTCAGCAGGGGGCATGGTTGGAACCAGGGGCGTGTAGGCGCTGGGGTGGGGGCGGGGACGGGGAGTGGCGGCCGCCCCAAGATAAGTTTTTCTGCTTTCGGGCTAGTTACGGGTGCGACCCACGCGGACGACACAACCCTACGGCCTAGGTGGTGCGAGCCCGCACTGTGCGTGGTCGCCGGGGTGTGGGGTGGGCGGGGCGTAGGTCGGTGGGTCGAGCATGCGCACTGCGTGCACGACGGGCGTGAGCTGGGGGCCGGGCGTTGCGCTAGGGGAGGGAGGAGGAAGAGGGGCGTGCGCCGTGCGAGCTCTCGGACAGCAGCCGGGCACGCGCAGTGCGTTCCCCGAGCTCGGGAGCGAGCATGCGCGATGCCGGGCCGGGAGCGAGCGCGAGCTGGAGCCGGAGCCCGGGGCTTCCACGGAAAGGGCAGGTCCTGAGCGCAGGCGCCCCGTTACGTTCATTTAGTTTACCAAGTGATAATGATGCGTTCAAGGCGTGCAACTGGTTTCAACGCTGGTGTATTCGGATGAGCGTGAACTGCTTTTCTGTCTTGAACTGCTTCTGTGACTGCAAAAATAAAAATAATAAATCTGGAGTTCATTACATGACTTTGCCCCATGCCTCGTTTATTTCAGAGTGTGCTTCTGCCAGGGTCGGTAAATCATCTCCGTTGCACACATGCACCTCTGTCCTTTATTCCTGATCTTTTTTATTTTGTACGGTTTTTTTTTTAAAACAAACGTTTTCTGAAGTTTTCTGATGGTTTCTGGTCTCTTTTAAAAGTAATTGCAGGTTGTAACGAGCTGGGTTCTGCTGAATACTTCTGCACAGCGTTGATATAGCCAGACCGACGACATAACTGTTTTAAGTCAACAATTCCCAGCTCAGCTCGTGTCCCTGACTGGAGATCCGTGTGCCTTGAGTCTGCACAGCGCCACGGGCAGGGATTCTGAGTTAGGTC